TCCCATTGAGATGCAGGTATACCATCAATTGTGAAGATTTGAGTACTTTCCTTAAAATTTGAAGACTTTTGTTTCGATGAGAAGTTTTTGCCTCTTCTTCTTTATCTTTAGGAAATACAACTTCACCTTCATTATTTCTTGCCATATGAATTTTAGGAATTTCGTCGCTTGATTCTTTTGAACTAGAAAATAATGATTCTAAGTTAGACTCGTTATTACTATTATTTGGATCACATGAAACTTCTGAATTGCTTGAAATTTCTGATTTTTGATCCAAATTTTCCATTGTAGAGATCTGTGGGATTTTCTCCTGAATTGTATCCTGCAAAAATGAAAAAATGGAGGCAGTTTTATGAGAAAACATTAAAACTTCATTCTTCTCTTCTTCCCAAACATTTCATTCTTGAACACTCTATTCTTCAACTTTTTTCTGAAAACCTTGGACCTTTTAAACTTTTTCTTTTTCTTCCTTTTCTTGCAATCTATACATGAACCTTTTATCTCCTATTCAGGTTTCTTACATGCTTGATCAATGCAAACATTTTCCTTGAGATAGTCATGAATAACATCTCTTTTGTTGCATTTATCTTCAAAGGTTAGGAATACAGCCTGCATGATCTGTTTTGGAGTAAGATTCAAAATAGATCCAAATTTATTTTGAATATCTTCCTTTCTTCTTCTCAATGTTTGTTCTCTTCCCCACTTTCAATATTTTCCTAGCCTTTGAATCTATATGCAACAAAAGAGGTGTTATTTGTGACTATTTCAAGGAAAATGTTTGCATTGATCAAGCATGTAAGAAGCCTAAATTGGAGATAAAAGGTTCATGTAGAATCTTGTTATACACTTCTTCTAATCTTTTTTCCAACACTTGAATTATTTTCAAAACTTTTGAGCTTTGAGTCCTATTCTTTACCAGTTGTTGGGATGTGGTATTGATTCAACTTGGAAGATTGAACATACTCTTTTACTCCTTTAGGATGATGTTTAATCAGATATTTGATAGCACCAAGAGGAGAAGTATTTAATCTTGAAAACGAAAAGTATGGATCCAACAAAAGTAGAGATGTAGGATTCACCTGTTCTGGTTCCACAGAAACCTCATACAAATGATCTAATTTATTTGAACTAGATCTGGATAAATTTAAACTACTTGAATTCATGATTTAAATTCTAGTACTGGAGCAGTGAATCTAGATGTGCTATGGGTTGCTTAATTCACCCTGTCTCCAAAGAGTATGTTTAATCCGATATACCAGAATTTATCTCAAAAATTCTTTGCCACAACAAATCTAATAAAAAAACGCTTACAAGTTATAATTATTGATGCTTCCAAATAGCCTTTATCTAATAACTCAAAAATTCTATTTCAACTAAAGAAATATATGCATAAGTATCTTCTCAAGTTAAATGTTCAAACCGGAAACATTTTTGACCTCGACATATAGTATCTAGACTATCAGAATAGTGAACAGCAGGAATATTTATACTAAAATTCATATAACTCTTAGAAAAAATTTGTACTGGAAAAACTATCAAATTTGTTACCAACCTCAAGTGTTTAAGATGGCTCTGATACCATCTTTGCAATTTTTCTTTTTGCGCATAGCTATCTTCAAAATTTTTTTAGAGTTTTGCTCAGCCTTTCGTTTTGCCATTCTCCTCTCGACTACTTTTTTTGACTTTACTCGTGGAAGAACTTTGCAAATTTAGTTTAAAAAGAGGATCCTAAAGAATCATTCAGAGTACTTTGAATTCATCTTGAGGATTGGATAGAAATTTGATAAGGGAATTATTTAGAATATTATAGAAACACACGAAAAGGATTTTTTATTTCAAGCTTTTCTTACAAACACCTTCTCTAATTTTCGAATGCCCCAACTGTTTGGGGAAACTCCTACTTATAGAGAGACAAAACAACTCTTCAGAAAAGTAAGGGGCTGTTACTATTTGCACAGTAGCCTGCCCTTTACTATTTGCATAGTAACTTGACCTTTACTATTTCAATAGTAACTTGACATTTACGATGTGCAATGGGTTACTTAATTCACCATGTCTCTAAAGAGTATGCTTAATCCGATATATCAGAATTTATCTCAAAAATGAAGTCTCAAACATAGTTCACAATTTCTAAGAACTGTTGAACTTGTTTTCATGAAAGATTTCTTCAGAAAAATGTTGACTCGAATCACATCAAAGGTGTGCCAACAAAAGAAGAAACAAAAGAGCCCATAAAAACTGGATAGAAAGAATGAATATTACAGATCCAAACAGTACTCCTTTAGATACACCAGATTCCTCAGACTAATGGGCAAAAGATGTCTGCTTTGTTTGCTTTATTTTCAATAATGATCAGATAGGTGTGCCAATGGCCAGTTGTAAATCTGTAAGAGTCAAGTTGCTATTAAAATAGTAAAGGACAAGTTACTATTGAAATAATAAAGGTCATGTTACTGTGCAAATAGTCAAAGTCTGGCTACTGTGCAAATAGTAAGGGTTAGGTTACCATGTACCCCTTACTTTTTTGAAGAGTCGTTTTGTTTCTCTATAAGTAGGAGTTTCCCTAGATAGCTGGGGCATCTGAAAATTAGAGAAGGAGTCTATAAGAAAAGTTTGAAATAAAAAACCCTTTTCGTGTGTTTCTATAATGTTCTAAATAATTCCCTTATCAAATTTCTGTCCAATCCTCACGACGAATTCAAAGTACTCTGAATGATTCTTTAGGATCCTCTTTTTAAACTAAAATTCTGCAAAATTCTTCCACGAGTAGAGTAAAGTCGAAGAAAGTAGCCGAGAGAAGAAGGGTGAAATGAAAGGCTAAGCAAAAAAATTTTGAAGATAGCTGTGCACAAAAAGAAGAACCACAAAGATGGTATCAGAGCTAGGTTTCGATCCTGGGACCTATGGGTTCTGATACCATCTTTGCGGTTCTTCTTTTTGCGTACAGCTATCTTCAAAATTTTTTCAGAGTTTTGCTCAGCCTTTCTTTTCGCCATTCTCCTCTCGACTACTTTTGTTGGCTTTACTCTACTCATGGAAGAACTTTGCAGAAGTTTAGTTTAAAAAGATGATCCTAAAGAATCATTCAGAGTACTTTGAATTCGTCTTGAGGATTAAATAGAAATTTGATAAGGAAATTATTTAGAACATTATAGAAACATGACGGGTATTTTACATATACGTACAAGTTAAAAAACAAAATTACACCCGTTCACTGCAAGTATACAGGTGAACTAGTAGTTTAGGGTATATCGGGTCAATCCCACAGGGAAGAGTGAACAATTACCGGTATTATTAAAGCTTCTCTATTATTTAGACTATCAATGAATTATAACAAATTTATCCTATTGAAATTATACAAAATAACAAATAAAAACTCCTTAGGTTGTGGTATCCCTAACTACTCATGCAAGTGCTATATTTGGATCATTGAGTACTACATCTAGGCTAGTTATGGTGTAATTTCCTTAAACATGTGAAACCTACTTTCGTAGTGAATCAACTATACTCATAACTAATTCATACCTATTTTCATGGTTATGAAATTAGCTACTAGTTCATTTCTTCAATGAAATTACATGAAATGAATCACTAAAAACCACATAGGTGCACCTCTACTTTCGTGAGTGTACTCCCTATGTTTAGCACTTCTTGAACTAGTGTTAAATCTCAATTTTCATTGCAGAAACAACACCTTAGATAATCACAATCAATGGTACCAGATTAATCATGATTTAAAGAGCCAAAGTGCTAAATAACTTGCTCAAATCATAGCAATCAAATAACCAAATAATAAACACTAACAATTATAGAAAGTTCAACCAAACCCAAGGCATAAACTTTAGAGACACATATTGAACACAAAATCCAGAACTTGTATATTAACTAAACTTGGAATCAAGTACAAAAGATAAAGAGTTTGGAAGGAATGTAACCCTTGTCACATGAGTTCATCTCCTTGCCTTCTTCATCCTCCATCTTCTTCTTCATCTAGCTAATAAACAAGAATGGATAACACTCTACTCTATACTAACCTATTGCTACTACTCAGAAAATGCAAGAGCTACATCTCTGCACTCCAAATTTCTCCCGTATGTCTCGCCATTCCTTCTATCTTGCAAGATTTTTGCTATATAAATATGAAAGATTGGTCAAAACTTGAGGTTTACACCTCCCTTTTACAGCGGGGAATGTTTCTCACATGTCTAGCATCACATGTGAATTGGTGGAGGTGAAGTTGAGTTTTACACGTACATAGCAGTCTTTTCTGACCATAATCCGGCCAGAAATCCGGCCACAAATCCTGCCAAATTCCGGCCGGATTGCTACAGTGACCATTTGGTCACTTCTGGTTCAATTTTCAGCTATGCTCCGATTTTGCATCAACTTCCACTGAACTTTTCTTGATGATAAAAGCTGATTTAGCTCTTGACCAAAACATGAAACTTGTAGCCCTTTGAGTTATCTTTCCAATGCATCAAGAATCATATCATTTGGATTTGTGTGGGCTAAGAAATGACCGAAATACCCTTGCCTGCTCATTGCCTTGTTTCAGCTTCGACCGATAGAAATTAGCTACTGTAATTCAGTTTTTTGACTTTGAAAACCTTCAAACTGGATTCAGATGTCTTCACCAAAGTTGTAGATCTATCTCTTATCTTCAAATTGGTTCAAGAATCATCTCAATCCGATCACTGTAACTCAAGTTATAGCCGAAATACGAAAATGTGTCAAAACTGTCAAAATACACAAAATCCCAATAAAAAGTGATAAAAACCTCATTTAATCACTTAAAAGCATTTTTCACCAATTATAGCTAAAATGATTCATTTTCTTCCAATAATATAACTAAAGTGACTAAAAATAATATAAAATATCATACAATTATTACGTAAATTATTCACTTATCAAAACACACGAAAAAGATTTTTAATTTCAAACTTTTCTTATAGATACCTTCTCTAATTTTCAGATGCCCCAACTGTCTAGGGAAACTCTTACTTATAGAGAAACAAAACGACTCTTCAAAAAAGTAAGGGGTACATAATAACCTAACCCTTACTATTTGCACAGTAGCCTGACTTTGACTATTTGCACAGTAACTTGACCTTTATTATTTCAATAGTGACACATGCAATATGCTCATGCTTGGATACTTTGCCGGATTTCCCTAGGACACAAATTGGTTTTATGACCTTTAACAGCAGAATACACTTTTACAATATGAAGGTAAGACTTTTTTCTCTCTCTCTTCTATTGCTGAAAATAAAACAGAATTTCTCCTTTGACAGTTCAATATCCATACTTCTCAATGACCTCTGTGATTTTCTGCTTTAGTCATCCTTGATGCAACGTCAAATGTTGGTGGTCTTAGACTTAGATGACGCGTTTGTTCTATTACCGTATGATCTCCTTGCCAACTTGTTTGAATCAAGAACTATGGTGGATGCTTTCTTAGATGGCTTGCCGTCAATGTTTGAGAATACTTCACACGCGGAATCTGCTTTTTGTCCAGCAGTCAAGGTAGCCACTATGGTCATGGTATATCAGTAGACAAGAATGCTCTTTGTACTCTTACTTTTGTCATCCTTGAATAATAATCTAGTATCTATCACTTTTCAATTATTTATTTTCTTATCTCTCGCTAAATTATTTCTATGCAGATGAGTTGTAAGATGCCTTGTTTGTTGTTTTGTAGAGTCAAATAAATGAAAACTTGATGATTTTCTATAATACATTGCCATCACTGGGCGTTTGGTAGGATGAAGTTGCGGCATGATGATCATCATGTGTATGGAACAGATAAATAGCATGTATTAAGACTACCAGAAGATCCATTCTATGGAAAGATGGTTGCTGAACTGACAGAAAACTAGATAGCTGTTGATGTTTATGTTTTCAGTGGCAAATAGGCTAACATAGCTTCTCTAGGTTTGCGCTAATGATATTAACCATTGGCTCTCGGTGAAAAATTCGTTTCTTTATTATATACAATGGGTTTTTTTCTTTTTTCCCTTGTCATGTTTTGGATTGTGATCCTTATAGTTTCAAAACCCAAGCATATTTACAGGAACTCATTCAGAATATGAACTACGCATGGACTGTCTCAGCAGTCCATTTATTTTTTTGAAAAAATGAAATATTGTGACTTTTAATAAATTAATCATGGGTTAAAAGTAGTCCTTCAACTAATGAGGAGGTCAAATAAATTTTTGTATTGCATAATAGCTGTCTTTCTGGTTGACGTCTAAGAAGCATGTAATAGTTATTCTGACATCCCCCTTACGGTGTTTGTCGACGTCTATGCTGGAATTTACCAAATACATATAGCCTAAAATTTTCTGTGCAATGCTTGGTATCAAGCTTAAATAAATGGCGTTTTTCCTATTAAACTTTTATTAGAAGAGTGCGTCTATCTACCATTATGTTGAATGTATAGGATACTTGGAGTCACAATAATATTGAGCTTTTACAGTAAATGTAGGTACTCTATCAAAATATACTGGTGGACAGGTATATAATTATCGAAATTTCCAGTCTGCTTGTCAGGGAGAGAAATTGAGGCATTAACTAAGAATAGATCTTTCAAGAGAAACTGCCTGGGAAGGGTTGATGCGTCTTAGATGCAGAAGAGGCAAGTAATTGTGGATTTATGTTATATCCCCATAATCTGTGAAATTTTCCCTAGATTATCCAAGTGGAGACTTCTTGTTTCCAAGCTGTTTTCTAGGCTTGGAGTCATTAGAGGAAGTGACAGTTTCAATTCCTTGGACGATTGAAGTTTATCTAGTTACTTCATTCAGAAACCTATACATCTTTTGTCTCACCAGAATGAAGTTTGAGAAAATGAATTATCCTCACTCGACCGAACTGTTCTTCAGCTTCCCAGCCTTGCATACATTTTGCATCCGCCCTTGCACCTGGATAGGTATAAATGTCATTAAGATCGAAACTCCTTATCTTTCAATCTTTGAGATATCCCGGTGCAAGTATGGGAAAGGAGATGAGCTGTGAAATCCAGCTCTTGGAAGGAGCCCGCATCTCACATATGTGAAATGGGCTAGTGAAGATTTCCTGGAAAACTTCATTCTGCCAAGCCCTTCATCAGTTTCTAAAGCGGTACTTGACCATTTTATTGGACTCGAAGATTTCTGGGTAGCTGGAATTGGAGCTGTGAAGCTTTTGATACAAGTATCTAATATCACCCGTCTTGAGCTTCCCATTGACATAGTTGAGGTAATTTATTATCTTTACTTGGATCAATGAGGCTTTAGATTTCTTTAAATGAGACAGTATCTCAGCATTAATGCATCTTTTAGTTTCAAAAATTTGAATGCAAACTTGGGAATTTTTACTTTAACTCATTAGACCAGTAACCTTAATAACAAATTAACAACAAAAAAAGAAAATATGTACATTCATCGCATAATTTCAATTGTATAGAGATACAAATTATACTAATTACATCTCCTATCGATAATGCTTATTTAATTAATATTGTTCAGTTTATAATACTTCTCTTCTCTTGAATAATGTAGCTATTTTGGAACATCTACATATAATGATGCTTGTGTGTCATTTAATTTTGTGAAGGCACTGGACCGATCTGGAACAATGCTTTACATCCCCATGCTTAATCAGGTTATCTATCGAAAATTGGATTCACGTTATTCGAGCAGTATCAGAGTTCTGATGAGTTTGCTAAGAAAGACACCAAATCTGTTGTTTTTGGACATAGATGTAATCAGACTCCAAATCCCTTCTCTACATTCCTTTATGTTATTCTTTAACTAGGAAAAATTTTCCTCACTATCTAATACACATTGCTCTTGCTACCAATTAATCTTCTTGGCTTCCTATTCTAAATTGTGATTATGAATTGATAGGGAGATTGCCTCCGTGTGTTATATGTCGCCTTAGAAAAATTTATCTCACCTATTGTTATGGGGCTGCAATATGGTTTTATTTGATGAAACTTCTACTTCAAAATGGGCATGTTCTTCAGCTGATGAGTGTCCATCTTCCTAAACTTTCAATAGAAGCGGCAATTTGGATTGAAATCCATTTATCCATCCATATAATCCATAATTAAATGGATAATGGATTATCCATTTATAGTATTGGTTTTAAAGGGTTGATCAAAGTAAAACCATTAAATTAAATGGATTTATATGGATTATCCACTAAAACCATATATATCCATTTACTTAAAAACCAAATAAAAGAGAGGGAAAGGAAATGACTAAAAAAGGAGCCATCCTAAAATTGCAATTGGGGTGTGAAAATTTTGCTTACATGAACTAGTAACTAGAACAAGAAAAATATAGTTATTCATTTAAATGCATTTTTGAATAAGGTGAGTTACTAGTTTATTTTAATTCTTCACTTAGTGAAATCTAATTCATTTGCTAAGAAAGTGGGTCAACATCAGACCATGAGAGGATTTTGAATTAGGAGGGGTAAATTTGATCATTTTCTTTTTGGTAACAAACACATTAATAAGTTTACAAATCGGTTAATTAATCCACTTGAATCATATATCTATGAACTTTTACTTGTTCTAAGATCTCTCTTATTTTTTAAAGTACAACAGAAAACTGGTATCTGTTTTTGGACTTAATTAATTGAGAGGGAAATGCCGAATTTGAGATAAATTTAAATGCAGTCAAGGCTAAAAGTAGAAGATAATATGGGCCATAATTAAATTCCATGGATGCCGAATTTGTAGATATCCTACGCACGGTCTATGCAGGACTTCTATTGTTTGGACTAGTTTGCAATATATGGCTACTCTGTAATATGTAATATATATATATACATATATAATAATAAAAATAAAAAAAATAATAATAATAATTTCAGATGGTTTTTTAGTGAAATGAAGGTTCATTTTGCTTGAATTTACATCCGTGGTATTTTGTGGCTTGAATTTACAAGAAATGGTAATACAAAAAAAAAGTAACAAAAATATTTAAATGGATTATAAATGGATAATTGGTTTTTATTTAATCCATTTAGATCCATCCATTTAGATCCATTTATTAAATGGATCTAAATGGATTGGATAAATTCTATCCACCATCCATTAAGTCAAAACCAATTATGAACCATTTATCCATATTGCCACCTCTAACTTTCAAGATGTGCCAAGACTAAGATCACGCTGGAGTTGCTCATGGCACCCCGAGCATCTCCATATGTATTCACACAGGTCTCACAGATGATGATGTTTTCATTCATGATGTTTGTAATCGACAGCAATTCTACCAATCTGACTCCTTTTTTAGGTGTTTTGTCTTCTTTTGAACTACTGTGTTCTTCATAAATATATATAAATATTTCTCTTGTTTGTGTGAGGATTTGAACGTAAACTTCAAGATCGGGTTTTGTTAGTTAATGTAGTATTATTGTTTGTGAGAACAAATATATTGACAAGTCGATTATCAGCATATCCTATACAGAAGTAGGTGGTGACTTGAGCTACTTAATAGGTAAAAATTCTAATGGAGTATTTATACTTTGTACATGATTTACGCATCAAGCAAAAAGTAAGGTTAACAAGGGAAATTTTATGCGGTTGGAGAGTAGCTTATTTAATCTTCCAACTTGACTATCATATTCTTCTCTTGATTAATATCATAATTATGTGTTTAGTTTTATTATTATTTTTTATGTAGCATGGATTATCCTTCTTGTTAACTAAACAAACCCAAGTAGTAATATTTTACTTGGATTTTGCAAGTCTCTTGCTCAAAAAAAAGCTTTCATATATTGAAACTCTAAGGCTTTCAAAATCATGTTTTTTCCTCATTATTCTTGATTTCAAAGTTTCTCGTTAACAAACTCCAAGGTGAATTCGTTGCTTGTGCTACAATCAGAACCAAATGTGGAACTAGGGATTCTAATGGTCTTAACAGATCAAAAGTTAAAAACCAAGAACCAAATCAGGACAGGGACACGCATCTAATTCCACCTTATCGAATGCAATTTGAATATGATTAGATTGAAGTAGTAACAAACAACAGAATACAAATAAATAAATAAATAAATACACGACTGCAAAATCACTGGCCAATTAGTTCAGTCAGGGTTTTGCTGCAGAATACTTCAAGATGCATTCATAAGTTTAGTCAACATGCAGCAGCGATAAAAATAAGGATAAAATACCCAAAAACTCCTTGTGATTTGCTAAATATTCAATTTAACCCCCTCTAGTTTGAAAACCTACACTATAACCCCCTGTGGTTTCAACTAAATTGAAATTGGACGGAAAGCATATAATCTAACGGTTATACGTGAAATATCAATATTGCTCTTATATAAATAAATTCTCTATGATTTATTGAATGTTTAATTTAACTTCCTCTGATTTGAAAAATTACACTATGACTCCCTACGATTTCGACTAAATTGAAAATTGAATGAAAAGCATCTCACGTATAATAGGGGCAATATTGACATTTCACACACATTCGTTAGATTTGATACTTTCTATCCAATTTCAATTTAGTCAAAATCACAGGGAGTTATAGTGTAGGTTTTCAAATCAGAAGGAGTTAAATTGAATATTTGTCAAACCACAGGGAGTTTTTTGGTATTTTACCCTAAAAATAAACCTTAAAGATGAGGAGGGGAGAATGGTAGAGACTCAGTAACAATGCAGATCTAAAGTCAAATTGTCTTTTAAAAGATTAACCAACATTCTCATCATCACTGAGACGAACGTGGAAATAACCAAAAAATAATGGAAAAACCGGCCCCAGCATGGCTAAAGAGTCCAAGACACTAGTTTTCTCAATACATATTAGGACTAAATTTGATTACACACAAGCTGTAAGAAACTAAGTTTGGGCTCTCCAGTTCGTTGTTGTTAATCATGAAACTTCGTGACCGCCGTAGCTTCAGTTAGGGAATTTATCGAAAGATATGCATCTAGGCATTGTTTACACTACCCCAATAATTTCTGAAAGTACAAATTTTGTCATTGTATCTCATAGCTATCCAGCAAAGTGTATACTATTAGATGGCAATACAAATTAAAATAATAATGCAGTAAAATAGTAATAACAACAATAATAAATTCAACATATATGCGCTTAAATTTTTCCAATACTTCCACCATCACAAGAAATAACGATTATCAATTGGATGAAGAGAGTACAATAAATCTGAATTATCGATCGAAAATTTTTTTTCGTTATGCGAATTGCTCTAGTGATTATATACTAACGAGCTCCCACTGTAGTATCATTTGGACCAATATTGAATATGCAAGTTGCACAATTTCACGCTTTTGCAATTTCAAATGAATTAAATTTCATGGCGTTAAACGGTAAAAACCACCGTTAAGCCAGGAAATGCAGACTGTCGACTGGGGCTGGTTGCTAGTGGATCTTTATCCCTCCATAGCAAAACCGCCATTCTCTCCTTTCTGTTTCTCCTTTAGCCAGTTTCTTCCATTTTT